ATTAGCTGGCTAGCTTGATGTTAGCATTAGCTGGCTAGCTTGATGTTAGCGTTAGCTGGCTAGCTTGATGTTAGCTAGCCGAGCTTAGCCGACACACTGCTTAGTCTTGAAAAGTAACGTAAAACAGCACAACGCTGTTATCCCGTGTGGACAATATTACAACATTGTTGTAGTTTATTATACAATATGTGTGTGTGTTTGAACGTTATGCTCTCCACATTAACATGTCCCATTCGGTTTTTGTGTTACAGCGTTAGCTTGTTGGCAAACACGGTAGCGTGTTTTGGGGCTATTCAATTTCGTATTATGTCAAGCAGATAACTCGCTATTAGTATGCCTGTTTTTAAAGGTGTGTACAGTATATAGGATGGCATTAGCTATTAGGTCGCTAACACTACCGTCACTTTATTATCATGTATAATGTGAAGCAGTGCAACTAAGGGCTTTGCATTCACTCCATGACCTGCAGAATATGTGTGAAATGTCCACAACTCATGCTATGATCATTTTAATAAAACATTTTTTCCTGAACTCTGACAAGCTCCTGTTTCGATTGGTTTCCTTATTATCTGTCTGAATTGGCACTATATAGTTTACAAAATTATTCTTGATTTTTCAAATGAAGTTAAAACATTTGCAGATGTGGTCACTGATGCAGAGGTCTGGAACCAAGCTCTTTTCTTGTAGCAGCATATGTAGAAGACTCCTGTTGCACCTCCACTGCTAGTTACAGTTTAGTTTTAAAATTGATTCATCCCTGTCTGTGTGCATGTGTGTAGTTTCAGCCCTGAAGAGAAGGACCCAGTAGATCCAAACGATGATGGATGGAGGTTTCCTTCTTCCCATGTGGATCTACTTCCATCTCCTAGTGCCTCATTCTCATCCCCTACATTACCTTGGTCACCACGCCACCGAGCTCCGTGGCCCCGGTCTCGTCATCGGAGAGCCAGGGGAGCTGCTGCATCCCACCCCTACAAGGCCAGAGGACACCGTTAATTTAGAGCACCCGTTAACAAGCGGTGCGGCGGCTGCCGCAATTGTAGCCGACGGAGATACAGGCCGAGAGGATACCAGCCGAGAGGATACCAGCCAAACGTAACGTCATGGGAGCACCTTCCTGTGGTCATCCAGCCTACCAAGTGGTACCAGGTTGTTGGGAGCATGCAGTGCAGCCACTGCAGAGGCGAGGGGAGACACCAGATGACATCCTGGATGTGCCAAAGGTGCCAGGTGCCCCTGTGTCTGATGCCGTATAGGAACTGCTATGCCAAGTGGCACGGTCAGAGGTGTTGAGTTCAGACGGTGGAAGCTCAGGGAGGAAAGGCATCGAAAGTTGAGGTTCCTAGTGCACCACATTTGTTTTTACTTTCTCTGAGTAGTTCCTTCAGAGTACAGGAAAAATTCTCTTCAAAAGTTCCTCTGGATAAATGTTTTCTTTAGGGGTTTGGTCAACTGGTTTGCACTCCATTATTATTCCCACTGGGATTATAGATTTTTGGTAAAACTATTTCTATTGAGTTTTTCCTGTTTCTACTTTTATTTGAGATAAGTTGCATGTGGTTGTTTGGCTTTATCTTTAGACCACTTACATTTAGGAGGCTAAATATTGTAGTGAAAAAGGGGTTACTGAACATTGATATCCAGAAGTCGCACAATGTAATGGGAAGCCAGTAAGACGCATACACATTCCTCACGTTGGCCACCTGCAAGATGGCGGCATGATTTCAGTATTTAGTTTAAACGTATAACTCCCAGTAAACATTTCATTTGGTTTAATATGAGATTCTGCTTTCCATCTAGCACTGCTGCATGTTCTGCAGTCGTTTGAGCTGCTTAACTTTTTTCGAGGTTATTCGTTGTATTGCTTGATCCAAAACCAAGATGTATTCCCGTTGTCTGCAGCGTCTCTGAATGAAAACGCACCCAGTGTAGTTTTGACAGAAGAAACAAAAGAACACGTTAAATGAATGTGGCTTCCATCTTGTTTTATTTTAGTTGGATTTCCTTTGCATCCAGGAAATTACCTGCAGCATGAGAAATAATAAACTTATTTTTCCCTGTAATAATTCACAAGTAAGAGCTTTTTATTCTTAGTCTTGAGTTGACCACGTGTGTTACTTTGGTTATTTACCGTCACAGTTCTGAAGTTGCCAGAAGGCCTCAACTTCAGAACTGTGATGGTAAATAACCAAAGTCAGCGTACAGTATGGGATTTGACGTGCAAGTCTACTTAACCAACAGTGGTGGAAAGAAGCATGCTGATGTGTTACTCGAGTAAAAAGTAAAAAATCGTGTTCTCCGGATTTGTGTTAAATTTACTGAATAAAAGTATGATTTAGAACGGCTTCTTTCTGTGCACCTTTTCTTGACTGAATGTTGTAACTGGTCTAGGTGGAGCTTCATCAAACGACCTCGACAAAGCACTGTACGAGCACTACATTTTAGATAGCGATATTTAGCGATACATAATGGACAATTTAGCTTTGAAAATGTTCTACGGGCCTTGACTTGACTTGTCGCAGTGAAAGAAAAGCACAGGCGTCGCAACATGAACCATGACGACGAGCCATCACAGAAGCAGCTAAATGGAATGCAGCCGTCATTTATTTAATCATTTACACCTGTGATCTTCCTACCGGGACATGTCGCTGTACTAGTACCTCAAAATTGTGCTTGAGGTAAATTTAAGTAGTTACGTTGACAGTTGAAACACTTAAACTATCAGTTGATTGACAGAAGATTACTCTGCAACAATTCAGATAATTGATTCACTGCTTTCGTCGGCCATTTATCAAGTAAACAAGTCAAACAATTGACGGTTCCAGGTTTTCTAGAATGAGGATTATTTGTCGCTTCTCTGGTTTGTATAATTGTAATTCTAATATTTTAGGGTTTTGAACTGTTGGTCGAACAAAGCTAGTAATTTGCCGATTACACTTTGGCAACTTGTGATGGGCACTTGTCAAACAATTCATCTATAAAGAATTTTATTACTAGTTTCAGCCCTTTTTTATATTCCATTCTAAATGTTTTATTATTAAATAACTTGATTTATTTTGCTTTTCTGGAAATGTTTCTCTTTGGACAGCATTTTGAATTCAGAAGTCGTCTCTCCTTTCGGTTAGATGAAATATCGGAGATAAAATTGAGAATCTATATTAACATAACAAAAGGATGCGTTCAAAGACCTCACTTCCTGTCCTGATAATGCACGGACAAGTAGACGGGTCCATCTAACAGCCTCGTCCACCTCGTTGGTCTGGCTGCAGAAAAATTACAGATTGGTGGATGTTTTCACCAAAGCTATAATGTTCTACATGAGGCAGTGTTGTGCTTTCTTTGCTGTGTGTGTGTATACAGTATGTGTATGTGTGTGTTTGAGCACACGTTCTCCCTCTCTCCCTGGTGGTACTGGGGTGTTTGGCAGGATAAATATAGCCGCGTTGGTGTAAAGCTGTTTTTCTCCTCGGCTTTTGTAGCTTTAATCGAAAGCAATCTGGAGGAGGGAGAAGTGGAAGGGGGGGGTAGAGGAAGGGGTGGCCGATGCCAGAGTGTTTTATTTTAGCTCTCTTTTAAAGAGTCATCGGGGAGTGTTTAGGAGTAATGACAACCCTGGTGGCTGGAGGAGAGGGACCAACTCTAACCTCCTTGTCCTCCTCCTCCATCCTCCGTCTCTATTATTTCCCGCCCAGCTGGTTCTCCAGCTATTTTCCGGAGCTTTCAACCGCAGCTCACGGAGAAGATTACGTATTTTATGATTCCAAAAGACAAAACTCTTTAGAATGCTCACTTGAAATAATAATAATAAAAAACATTATTTAGAAAAAAAACTGATGAAGAACCAATTTGGGCAACATTGTTCTTGTCTCTAAATGAAATCAAGTGAAATTCTTAAAGGGAGCATTCTGCAGTGTTGCCAGTCTTTGGGGGGCAGAAATCACTGGACAGCTGTTGGACTGGACCAGAAAAAGGTGCGTGTGTTTTGCGCACTGAATTTGCAAAACTGAGCAAACTCCATCCACTGAGGAAGACTGTGAGATGCAGGAATAACTTGGACCTTGAGTTATGAGTCTTTTTAAAAAAACATTTGGTGGTTTTATTGTATTGCCTGTTGCCATGCAATTTCTCCCTCTTTTCTGGTATTTTTGATTAAGCGGAAAGTACGTTGATGCAGTCGATTGGCAACATTGTGGCCGTTTTATTCTTTTGTTAATTGATTGAGTTGTTTCTAAACTCTGTGCAGTGTGGCTTGTTTTTTTGGTAAATGAACAAAAAAAGAAGTTTGGAAAATGAATGTGGCATTTAAGGTACCAAAAATAGTTTGTCTCTGTGCTCATTATATGCATTGACACTCAAAAACACTTTATTGTTAATCTTTAAAAAAAAACTGCCTGTCAATCAAAGTTTCTCTGGGGGACACAATGTGAAATGATGATTTTTAAGAGAAATATGAGCTGGAATTCAAAATGAAGACTAGACATGAGCGTAAAAAAAAACCGATCTGAAATTGGACTCTCCGCTGTAGCGCGCCAACGTATAGTCGGTGTGCATATGTGTGACGGGACAAATAGAAAGCAAGAAGACGGGAGATATTGCTTTGGCAAGCAGGTTGAATATCCTCTCGTTATCCAGTTGGCGTTGTGTGCTTCCATTTGGAGGCCAGACGCAGCCCACACTGGAAGCCAAGCTGCTCCCTGGTACAACTGCCACCATGTTGATCTTGGAAAAAAAGAAAGCCTTCTATAAAAGCCTTTTTTTCTGCACAACTCATTGGCAGCAGTGCAGCTCTTTAGGAAGTGCAATGTTCTATCTCCTGTTGGACAGTCGGGCATCGGATAAGCGGTTGTCAACGTGTTGGGCTGCTGCAAAGAATAGTTCCTTTCTGTTGGAACCATTACTGTGATACCAGTGTCGGACGCATTACTTATCTCCGACAAAGCAATGCTCCTAGTCTCTAATCTAATCTCTACCCATGCCCTCTTTTTTTTTTTATGAACTAGGTGATCTGGGTGTGTAATAACTGCCGGAAGCAGCAGGAGCTCCTGACCAAGCCGGGCGAATGGTTCACCGGCCCGGCCGGGAAGCCCGCCGGACTCGGTTCGGCCATCAGCGAGCCGTCTGTGTGCCAGACGATCGGCGACAAGAAACTTCGGTCTCGCTCCCAAGCGCCCCTGTGCTCCACCGCGGTGATCCAAGACCCCAACCGACCCGGTGCGCCTGGGACCGTGCCCGGCACCGACACCCGGTCGCGCAGTGAACCACCACGAGATACGTAAGCTGAAGCAATTGTTGTAGGACAAGACGGTAGTAAGGGCAGCATTCAAACTGATGAAATATTCAGTTTTGCTAAAGTGATGCAAGAAAGGTATCAAACCCAAACCAACATTTGACATGATTTAACCAGGTGGCAGCCTCCGGGTTTGAAAGGTGAAGCCAATGTGAAGTACCTTAAACCTGCATTCTTTCTTATGGCCAGCAGGGGGCGACTCCTCTGGTTGCAAAAAGAAGTCAGATTGTATATAAATCTATGAGAAAATGACCCATAAGCTTATGGACTACAGTTTTGAATCCCCGAGTTCAGCATTTTGGCTGTCGCCATCACGTTTTTTTCTGCATCCAGAAGTGACACGAGAGGGTGGAGCTAAGCTCAACCGAACGCTGAATATGACATTTTTAGTTGACCAAAATGTTACAATTAACTTTCATGAACTGAAAATACACTGGGAAAGGGTTGAAGTTTTAAGACAACAATACGGACAACACCCTGACCGGACACCACCGTGGTTGCGACCTGTCAATCACAAGGTAGCCCTGCCCAAAAGCATTATCTGCTTTATGGTTTATTTTACTCTAAATGGGACCATAATTTAATAAATGAACATTATGCTGTAATGAAGAATACTTTAAACTAGGGATTGAGACCATAAACTTATGTTTACAATGTTTACTGAGGGAATAAATCAAGTGTAAAGTAGGGTGATTTTCTCATAGACTTTTATACAATCTGACTTGCTTTTGCAACCAGAGGAGTCGCCCCCTAATGGTCATTGGGAAGAATGCAAGTTTAAGACACTTATCAGAACCGGAGGTTGCCGCCTGCTCCAAACCCAAGATGATCAGGGTAATTGGACTTTAGAAAAGCTCATCCACAGAAGTCATGATTATATTGTTTATCACAGGCAGAGTTTGACTAACCATGACTAGTACAGTGAAATGTGAAATTGGTGGAGTGCCCCTTTTAAAATTGCGTCCTCTTAGCCACCAGGAAGAAAACAGCCCTTGTAAAATGTGTTAATATTTATATAATCGCGCATTATCTCCTGCATTCATCGTATGCTTTTTTTAAATTTATACAGCGGTGTCTCTAAGCGGCCTGTGTCGTTGTTTCCTATGCCACTCTGATTGTAATGGAAGAATGCAGTCAGTTCCAAAACACCGGATAGTAGAATGTGCCGGCACTCGTGACTTTCTGTCAGTGGACCCCGAATGCTAACAATGAAATGTTTTTCTCTCTCCCTTCCCATATTGGTTGCTCCCCAGGAGAAATGGAAGGGGAGGCGGAGGAGCTGGTCGGGGAGAGCATCACCCGGGTCAGCCCAGACTGCAGACCCAGGTCTCCATGGACCGGGACCTCCGGGGGGAGTCCAGGGAGCGCAGGGAGAGCCGGCGGCTGTCGAAGGGACGCTCTTTGGAGCACGATCCTGTGGGAGGAGTCAGCGGGGTAAGGCGGACAGAAGAGGGGGGCTACTATCACATGGACCACAGCGGTGCCCCCCCTCGCCAAGCAGGGCCGGTCCCACCTGGAGGCCGGGGCCACCCTGTGCAGGGTCACGGCGGGGGTGTGGGAGGGGAGGTTGGGGATGGCGTGCGACCCGGTCAGAGGACAGTGGGTGGGGTGGGCGGGCCACACGAACACACCCTCGCTCAGCAACCCCTTCCCCCTGAACTCAGAGAGCCTCCCAACTCGGCCCCCAGCCAGGGGCCCATGGTGAGACGGACCAAACGGGAGAAGGCTGAAAGCATGCTGCGCAACGACTCGCTGAGCTCCGACCAATCGGAATCTCTGCGCCCACCACCGCCGAGGCCCTACAAGTCGAAGCGGGGGCTGGGGGCCGGGGGGAAGAGGCAGACCAGCGTCAGCAGTTCGGAGGAGGAGGGAGGGACCACGCCCGAGTACAGCAGCTGTGAAGACGCCGAGATCGAAAGTGTCAGCGAGAGAGGTGAGAGACGATGCCAATCGTCGCCTTTTTTTGCCTAAGTAAACAAACTGCCTTTAACTTCCACCAGGAGGGTGTGGAAAATATCGACATCTGTCAGTTCATTCATTTGTTTATCCATCCATCACACGAGATATCTGAGGCAATTTATATTTTTGAGAACATTCACCACTGCAGTTTCTTACACTTTTAGGACCAAGGAGGTACTTTTAACTACAGGTTAAAAAAAATCTAAATCACCACACACGTATCTCTTAGATCACGTGTTAAACTGATGCAACAATAATAATCTTTATTTGTATAGCACATTTCATACAGACCATGGAGCTGAATAAAATGAATAAAAACAGAGAATCTTTGGTCCGAAGAAAGCATGAGTTTCACCCCTTCCATTTTAAGTGTAATTTAAAGAATGTCAACAGATGAAGTGGTTAGACATAAGTGTTTATTTGCAACTTTAAGCAGCTTCCTCATATTCTCTGTGTAGTGTATTGTGGGACAATAGTGTACACCTACGGCACACTTAAAAATCTGACGTTTCTTTGCCTGTGTACCATATTTTTGAGAATACTTAATTTTCTCTCTTTCCGGTGTGAGAATGTAAGTATGGAAGTTGCACACAGCTATACGTTTAGAGAAAGAGAATTTCCATTGATAGCGATGCTCTCCTGTCATATGAGACACCGCAGAGGAAGTAAAACGTGGAGGCACACCACGAATGAAGGTACCATTGGCTAATGCTAAAGTACATAACAAGTATTATTACTGTAGCGCTGCGTGGATCAATTTCAACACACAGCCAAGCTAGAAAACAACACAGTAGTGACTACAAACTGACAAATCCAAAAGGTGTGGAAGAAAGAAGTGAGTGAACTTAAAACCCGGCCGACCAACAAGTAGCTACCAAACAGCTACAGCACAGTGGCTGTTATTGGAAGTTAAGAAAGATTGCTCGAGATTAATGCAAATTGTTTTACAAAATGCTTTTCCTTGTTAAATAACTTGAAACTTCACAATAGTACAGCTTGTCTTTAACCGACTGTATTCGGTTTAATTATTGCAATGTATGCGTTATGAGGCAATGCATTTTGTGTGTGTGTTTGAACACTCCCACTTTACTGCTGCATCATGGGAGGTGAATGTAAGAAGTTAGAGTGAGCTATTTAGCCTCACTGTGCCATCTTCAGACATATTTGAATCCTCCCTTTACCCCTCTGGGTTCAGTGATCAGAACAGGTAAGTTGCTCAACAGCATTTCTTAAAATCTGCGGAATTCCACACCTCAAGTACTCGAAAACAAAAGCGTCTCACAAGCTTTCTAAATGATATCTGAACGTCAGAGTGAGCAGCTTCACAGAATACCAGCGTGCACGTTAACGAGGGCGTGCGAGCCTGTGGGTGTCTCTGAATGCTTCCCCGTGTGTCAAATTGTATTGTTTTCAGCTGAGCCCTGAGGGGCAGGGTATCCCACACTGGGCGTACATGGTAGTGTGTGTGTGTGATGGGGCAGCGTGACCCCAGTTGATCCCGCATGTGGCATCACATTGCCAACTACGTCTCCAAGCCTTGGAAACAAACTTTAATGTCATGTCCAAGCTGGGTCATGTCACTTCACTAGTAACCACTTCAAGGCACTCTGGCTCACTGCTGCGTGTCCAACTAAACTGTGGTGTTTGAGGATGGAGTAGTATTCTACTATTCTTTTAATTCTAGTAGACCTCCTTGCTAGAACCTCCGGTTCTTTAAAGTAAAGCCAATGCGGAAGTGCCTTTAACTTGCATTCTCTTTAATGTCCACCAGGGGGCGACTCCTCTAGTTGTATAGAAGTCTATGAGAAAATGACTCTACTTCTCTCTTGATTTATTCCCTCAGTAAACATTGTAAACATGAGTTTATGGTCTCAATCTCTAGTTTCTAGTCTTCTTCAATACAGCATGATGTTCGTTTCGTAAATGATGCTCCCATTTATAGTCAAAACAATAAAGCTGTGTATGCTTTAGGGCGGGGGTACCTTGTGATTGACAGGTCGCTATCAGAGTTGTATGCGACATACGTCACTCCACCACAGTCCAAATAAGGTCACTTAGGTTCACCGGCTGCAAAAAAACAAGATGGCGACAGCCAAAATGCCAAATTCGAAGCTTCAAAACCATAGTCCAAAAACCAATGGGTGACATCACGACAACTACATCCACTTCTTATATACAGTCTGTATTAGGGGTGGAACAATACACGATTGTTATATTTATAGCCATGGATATGAGACCCTACTCTAGAGTGGAACACCCAGGCAGAACAAACATGCTTAATGTTATTGAGCCCTGTGACACTACTCATTCACAAGCCCATTTCACCAAACCATAATTCCTGCTTTGTAAAAGAAAACAAAAGCCCAAACAGAGAATCAAATGTCCGAGGCACCCGCTGTTCCTCTGACAACAGACAACCGGACGTCACGGACTACACAAAGCTAACTGACTGTAACGACACGTTACCTCACTACTGAATGGGAGATTAACAGCCATGTTCTTCAGACACGCCCCCTTGAGTCTCACCAGCGAGGATTTGGTCTTTCTGCATTTTTGCTGTATTGAAAACCTACCGAACCGTGGCACCACTGTGTCGTATTAAACCGAACCGTTACACCCCTAGTCTATATGGTTCTGACACTTCCACAAAAAGAATATGTCATATGTCCATAAACAGAGTTCACCCCCAGAAATAATGCTACTTCTTTTGAAGTTGTTTGTATGCCTTTGATTGGTCATCCGATGAATGATTGTCGGTAATACACCAACATCAAACTTTATAGGAGAGCTGGCCCTTGATGAGCATATCAATCGAATGAGCATACATCATTTTTCTAACAATAAAAGGTGTTGTATAACTTGTTTCATTTTTAGACAATCACTATGTCTCTCTGTCGTTTTTACTTGCCCCTACATCACGTATTTACCAAATACACTGTAGCCACGCTCATGCTACATTAAACCACCCTCTGATCGATAAAGCAGCGTTGTTGTGTCCCGAAGAGAAAGAGGGAGCGCCGCACTCGGCACCAGCCGGGCCTGGACCCAGACCAGGTCCCCTTTGACATCGATCAAGAGGACGTTTAGGATGAGAGTGTTCTGTCAGGCCAGGTTTTTTTTAAACAACACCGGCGTGGCAGCGAGATGCTGCTTCCTTTTTTAGCTCGAGACCGAAGCCAGCTCCGCTCCGAGATACGCTTGCTGGCAGCCGAGAAGCGTCCAGGCATGTAAATCATTGTAAGATCAGCTTAGGGAAACGCACGCGCGTGCACACACACACACACACACACACACACACACACACACACACACACACTCACACACACTCAAATATGGAGTCAGTCACAGTACAGTAGATCCTATTATGATCTGTTCAAGTATCCTCCTAGATGCTACCAACTCATCCTCTAATAGGAAGGAAGGCAGGAAAAAGCACAACCCAAATATGATAACGCATCATAATACAATGCACCTTGATTCACAACTTTTGTTTTTCAACTGCTTATCCCAGAGTTTCCCAGAGTTTATCCCAGACCTCTGCTTATCCCAGAGTTTATCCCAGACCTTTTTATAGACCCCCAAATTCTGCAGCACTTACTAAATTTGTAAAAAAAAAAGCTGTCCCAAAGTTCCATCCATCCATCCATTTTCCACCGCTTATCCGGGGTCGGGTCGCGGTGGCAGCAGGTCAAGCAGGCCGACCCAGACCTCCCTCTCACCGGCAACATGTTCCAGCTCATTCTGGGGGATCCCGAGGCGTTCCCAGGCCAGCTGGGAGATGTAATCTCTCCAGCGTGTTCTGGGTCTTCCCCGGGGTCTCTTCCCAGTTGGACGTGCCTGGAAAACCTCCAGTGGGAGGCGTCCAGGAGGCATCCTAATTAGATGCCCGAACCACCTCAGCTGACTCCTTTCGACGCGAAGGAGTAGCGGCTCTACTCCAAGCTGATGACCGAGCTCCTTACCCTATCTCTAAGGCTGAGCCCGGCCACCCTACGGAGGAAACTCATTTCGGCCGCTTGTAGCCCGACCTTGTCCTTTCGGTCACGACCCAGAGTTCGTGACCATAGGTGAGGGTAGGAACGTAGACCGAGTGGTAAATTGAGAGCTTTGCCTTCCGGCTCAGCTCCCTCTTCACCAAGACGGTCCGGTGCAGCGCCTGCTTTACTGCTGCAGCAGTGTCCCAAAGTTATGACTGAGAAATCTCTGTTGGAGGGCGAGGTTTAGCTAACGGTCAATTAGCATTTACTGGTCAAAGTGCAGATATTCCATTTTAATAGATTCAATATAGATTGATTGATACTTTAATACTCTACTGTAATGGAATAACGCTTGCTCTAAATGGACTTAAAAAGAGGACATATTTCACATATTAATTATATACATTATTTTAAAGAAAACAAATTTTTTTTAAGACAATATGGAGCTAGATTTTGTGGTGCGCCCTCTAGTATTTTCTCAGTTTTTTTTCCCCCCAGTTTTCTGTTCTTAAACCTTTTATTACACAACAGTCCTGTTTATTCTTTACCTTCATTTGTCAAACTTTGTTGTCTTTGTTCCTTATTATTTATATTTATATGCAAGTACATTGATTGATAAAAAAACAAAAAAATGGAAGTTACTTCTTTGTGCTCACATATTTGGCAAATAAAGATGATATTGATTCTAATCCTTTTGCACAACAAGTGACTCTCCACGGAGGCCTGACCCCATGGTGACTGTCTTCTTCATTCAGGTCCTCGTAGGTCGAGGAACACACATTCACCCATGTGGCCCAACCCACTGCACAGAATCACGTTCACGCTGGAGTCATGAAACTGAGAACTCAGTTGTCCATCGTTGGAGCGTTCGCTTTAAGATTACATCACTATAAGTTGTCACAACCCATTAACTTCATAGCCTCCTGGCTTCTAGGAACGCTTGGCTCTGTTTTACTCTGTGTCATAACAGTGTCGTCTCGAACGCCGCCCCTCGGCCCATGTGTATGGGGGAGGCTGCTTTTTTTGGACTGAAGCAGGAGATACTATGTGTAATTCTCTGAAATATCCCACTGAACATGAGAGAAATGCACCAGTTCCTGTCTGTCAACATGGTTGTTACTGAAAGAAAAAACACATTTTAACTTGTGTTTGCATACATACTGTTTACTCTCGCTGTATAGTAATATTAATACAAGCACCTATTGAATTGATGTGAAACTGTGCCTATTACCAAATTAAAGGAACCCTTTTATAGCAAAACTATCCCTTCTTAAAAAATTTTTTTTTACATATTTTTGATTTGTTTTCATATTTAAAAAAACTGGTTCAAAATACATTTTCGAATAAAATTGCGATTTCAATTTTAAATTAATTTATTAAGAAATCATTTTAAGACCGAATAAGTAAAAAGAATAATTTGATTCATTTAAAATGTAATTACATTTTTATTTTATATACATACTGTTTGTGAGTTGTATGATGTATCATTTAACTGAAAATTGAATTACTCAAGTTGATTAATATCAACTCCAGCGTCTGTACCACGGTGGAAAGCATCAATAAATAAAAGTAATATGACTGCTTTTCTGCAACTTTTTGTAGTCAGAACCTTCATTTTTTGTGATATTACTTTATAATGATCATCAGCATTTGGCCACCATTTACCAAAGGATGGAGTAATTCAACAACATCATGTCTAGAAATGATTTCATGCATTTTAAACAGTCTTTTGGCATCGTCACTACCACTGTGGTGGTTACATTTCTAATTCCAGCTCAGGCCTGACGATTCAATAAACTTAACCCTCTCCACTGTAAACAAATACCTTCCACATTTGGCCTGGCTGTGTATGAGAGGACTCGGGCTGGTATGTGCTGTGTATACAGTTACTCCTGTGTGTGTGTGTGTGTGTGTGTGTGTGTGTGTGTGTGTGTGTGTGTATGAAGGAGGTCTCAGCTTCACCCAGTCTCTTTTCTCTTGTAGGCGACTGGGAGTGCTACCCCCACGACCCCACCGTATGGCATGTAAGTCCTTTTATTTCTTTTTTATTTGGATCATATTCACCATAAAAGTTTTCCGATCCGCATGAAGCCGAGCCAGTGGAGAACAGAAGATTTTACTTTGTGTTTCAAAGGAGATGATGAGAGTGTTGGTGTGCACGTCTCTGTACTGTGCTTTTTTTGTTTCCTATTTATCCCAAGGAATCCATTACTGTAGAACACGTGCGTTTTCTCAGGAAATACTTTCCAGATCCGGGTGTTTACACCAGCAGATGTAAAGGCTTTTTACGACCTCAACGTTAAAAGACTGTTGCGTTATATCAGTTGGTGATGGTGGGTAGCAAACTTGGGCTAATGTATTTCTAGGAAACGCTGCAAACTGTTGCAAAATCCATTAAACACTGGCTTTTTAAGAAACCGGACATGCATTCAGCCACGTTACTAATGAAATGGAAATGCAATGCACTTTTGACCCATACGCATATCACACAATTATTTTAAAGGGGTCTTTGACATGCTGATCCATGTCCCTCTGTGTTGTCTCTGAGCCCTGTCTCTTGTCGTCTCCCCTGTCGCAGCATCCTGTCACCTGGCAGCCGTCCAAGGAGGGAGACCATCTAATAGGACGAATCACCCTCAGCAAGAGGAGCACCACCATGCCAAAAGAAGCCGGAGCTCTGCTGGGGTTAAAGGTCAGAGCGGGTAGCAAACGTATTATTATTTTAAAGTCACCCATGACGGATCTGTGACACAAATCTCTCTCTCTCTCACTCTCTCTAGGTGGTGGGAGGCAGAATAACAGAGTCAGGGAGATTAGGTGCCTTCATCACTAAAGTCAAGAAAGGAAGCCTGGCTGACGTGGTGGGACATCTCAGAGCAGGTAGTCTAAACCGCCACGTGTGTTACACAATCGGCATGCAAAGACAGAAAAAAGACCAACACGTGGCCTTTCACAACATCCTAAAATCTGTTTTAGAGGTTTTGTTTAACGCAGTGCAATGTCTATTCTATACTTCTAATGCAATGTATGAGATTAAGCAGGGCTGTTTTGCTCAATACATTGTAGCTTTATGGTTTCATATCTTTAATTGGCGTCATTGGTTTTACATAAAACACATTAAGTATAAGGTGGTCAATATTCGATATGTTTCTAATTGTCAACAAATCTCATAAAAAGGCCAAAATGAGGAATTTATAACAATCCTGATATTAAACTACAAAGCCTTTTATTACAAACAAGTTTTACATTTGTGGCCTGTTTACCTGTCTAATTGGCATGGATGGGCTGTTTGGAAATGGAGTAACAACACGTTGTTGGTTTTGGTCTTTTCATGGGATTTGGTGACAGAAACGAAAAATATACAATAAAGATGAAAAGTCCCTAAATTCGTCCGAATCCCTGACTCACGCCCAGCCCTCATGCCCAACTTTTCACACGCATGTCCAAATTCCAGGGGATGAAGTTCTGCAGTGGAACGGGAAGCTGTTACCGGGGGCGACCATGAAGGAAGTTTACAACATCATCCTGGAATCTCAAGCCGAGCCTCAAGTGGAGCTGGTGGTATCCAGGCCTATTGGGTAAGTCAGGAATAAAAACACACCCTTATACGCCCGTCAGTGTCATATTTAGATATTAAAAAAAAGTTATTGGCCAGTCTAAATGTCGCATTGAATTGAACCTTTATCTAACCAAAGAAGTGTTTAGTGAGACTGACTCAGAGTTGGCCGACCTCAGATAAGACAGAAGAGAGGGATGTTTATTTGTGTTCTGACTGTGTGTCTGCATTCAAAATGAACAAAAAGAAAAGTCTGCCATTACCCTCACTTTACACTGCCAAGCTTTGTAACAGGAGCGTCTCCGCTTTTGTTGCGTTTATTTCTAGGATGATATAAGGTGAACTATCGCTGAGTGGGTGTAAGACTCCATAAACAACAAGAAGTGGGCTGCATCACAGATTCTTTTGTTGGTTGACGCCTTGTAAAAACTCAACCACGCCAGGCGTGATTATATTTGTGAGTGCAATAGTTTTCCTGCAGTTTGAAAGTGACTGATTTAAAAGAATGCATCATTTCCAGCCATGAGCGTCATAAAATGCACATATCTAAGACACATAATGGTTTATATGTTCCCTGTAAAATGACTAGTCCACAAAGGAAAGCTCAGCATCCTAATTTAGGTTCTTTTGCTCGATACTTTTGAAAAATGTTGAGGATATTGTCTTTAGGGCTTATTAAAATAGAATTTTATTTAATTGAATGACTAAGTATAAGGTGGAGTATGCTGAATTAGGGACGAATTTCATTATTCCATGCAGACAGGAAATATCCAATAATTGCACATCAACAGCAGCTCATAACTGAACTGATGAATTTGTCTTGTTGAAAATGTATTTAGTTTTTTTTCAAGTAAACTATTGTAGGGTTAGTTAAGTTTGTGTGAAGCTGAGAAAGTTAACGTGTTTGGATGAATGATGCATTCGGTGTTGTGATGCGAGAGACAAGTTTATTTCAATTGAACCATTAAGTATAGAAAATAGTTAGCGCTTTATTTTACAGGTCTGTAATTTCAAAATAATATCCTTATGATATTCTTTGGAAGTTTCCCTGAAAGAACTAAGTAATTTGGTACTAATCATTTGGAAAAAGAACACATTTCCTTATTTCACTTAAACTAATTGTTTATAGATACTTTATTCTCTTCACATGTTGAATTGGATGCCCTCCTGGGTTTTGCTTACAATTAGTTTGAAATGATTAATCCGAGTGTACCAATTGAACATCGTGTTTATTTCTCTATTTGCCTAGAATTAGTAACAAATGACATGGTCCAGAATAAATTCATGAAAATATTATGGACCCGTAAAATAAAGCACTATCATAATATCTCAATACACATATCTGAAAAAAGGAATGTCACATAGGACACAGAAGTCTAAATTCTAATATTTACATTTACATACAGCACTTTGAATAATCTATAATTGTTTGATTACGTACATGATCCTACACAGAATCTCTCTGAATTTTCGGTTTGCTGGAAAACTTTCCAGGATAGTCCTCTCCAATAAATGGTGTTATTACTCAAGATACTTCAGTTACCTCACATAGAACATTGAGTAACAAATGTGCAGTGCAAGTTGAGTTTCAGTATTTTTGATTAGCTAGTTGTGAGTAAAGCCGTGTTCACACCAAACGCAGCGCGAATTATTCGCGTAAGTAGATTACATACGCGATGAGACTGGAGTGATACGTATTTGCAATGGCGCGAATGGCGAATGAGTTTAAATTTTTCAACTCGGGCGAAAAAATGGCGTGACGCTGCAGCACAATAGCCTATCAGCGTTGAGATGCTCCTCCTGTCATCACTGATGTAGGTGGGCATCCAGAGCTCTATGATACCTTATATTAGTAGAGACCGGACGAAACTATGTGTATTAATGTATGTGTATAAATCATATGGTACAAACAATGAAAACGACGCTGCCGTATTTACGCCTAGATGACGTTATTTTGAGTGTTGATGGGGCTGCTACAATGTTAGCATAGAATAGCACCGATCGATCCGAGCTCCATTGAGAAAACAAGTATTTTAAAAGTTATTTGCTTGTCGTCTTGCGGCGAGAACTAACAAAATATGAACTTTTAAAAAATCGGCATCATTACGTAGTTATTTCTGCATCACTTTTAGTTCGTTTATCGCAAAATCTGTTTATTTTGTGTTCGTACAGCTGTAGTAAACAGCCGAAGTGTGGCTGGCTAGACACAGTGAATACACCTCAATGAAATCCACGGAGCGCCTCCGGATGATGTTATGAACCCAGACATGACGGCGTTTAGTTTCCCGTGATATTTGGGACTTCCACAACAAATACTAAGCAGAAATAGAGGTTATTTCTTCCATGGTTGATGGCGGAAATAAATGGCTTAAGTTAATAACGGCTTCCAGGGCGATAAGCCACGCCCCCTCTCCGGCGCGTCTCTTGCAAATGGAAATCACGGAAATGACCACAAATGGTCCCCCACGAGTAACGTGGCGCGAATGACGCGATTAGCGGTTTGGTGTGAACGCACCTTTAGATTATTGTAACGGGTTTATATTTCACAGTAAAAATACTCACTGTTTCTTAAAGCTCTTGCAGCCTCTCTAAACGTTTAACCCAATGTACTCTTTGATGGGGAAAATAGTTGAATGTATTAATTTCTCTCCAAACACTCGCGAAGGGTGTATAGAAAATATCAGTAAGTAATCTGCCCATTTTATTAGGACCCCTTAATCCTCTCACGCTTATGGAAATAGTTTTTGTTTTGCTGGTGCCATTTTGCATCCCTAAATGAACTGAACTGAATCCTGCTTGGTAAGGAGGCCAAGTTATGTAAATATTGGCTTTTTCGAAATCTGTTGCAGTTTGTCTTCTCCAATTGAATTGAACCAAAAGTTTATTTGAAGGGTTGCAAAATGGCCTATGGGAAATATCCATCAATGTAGTTTTGCTTTTGCAAGCTTTTTAAACTCTTCGTGCAGCGTCTGGAATTCCTCTTTTTGCATTCCTGGTAAAGTCTTAGGATCCCAAAGTGAAATCCAGCACTTACAGTTTCAAATAAGAAATGCTTATTTCTTTTTTACTCTTAATGCCCTGGTTTGAAAGTTGAGACATTGGGATTCATAAAGCAAGGAATATTTTAATTTTATTTCATTTACATGTTTTTGATTTTGGAATGGGCCCCGAGGCAACCTAGGGTCCATGAAACACATATCAGTGTAATACTTGTATTTTAAATCAAAAGTTGAAATGGAAAAACTTTTTTGGGGAAATATACTTATTTGCTTTCTTTCCCAGGGTGAAATGAGAAGATGGATATCTTATGTTTGCATGTTAAATAAAGCTCTGAAGCTAGGAAGCCGTTCACCTTCCGGTCTTTATGCTAAGCTAGACTAACCACATCCCAATTCCAGCCGAGAGTGGTATCCATCTTCTCATCTCAATCTCAGAAAGATAGCGATTATATGTAAATTACCAATTGTTTTCACTATTAATTTAAAGAAAATTCAAGTTTAACAGTTATTATTGCAGTTTGTCGCCCCATGGTTGAATAAGGAATCTAACATACTGCCTTATTATGTGCTACAAACAAACACGAAAAAACCTTCGGCAAATTTTCTGGGGCAGAAAAAAATAAAAAATAATTGCACTGATAAGTGTTGCACAAAATACCATGCTTTCTTTACATTACATGGAGCTGGTGCAATGGATTATATTGTTTAATTGTGATGGTGGTGGTGGATAAGAGAAGATAGTGGTGTGGATAGAATTGAGCAACTGGTTCCCATCCATTATTATTTCAGATCATCATTGGCCAGCCAGAATGTCTGAATGAGTCTGGGAAACACTGCAGTCATAAAAAAACCTGGCTCTACTCGCATCTTCCCTCTGCTTCTCCATGTTTTCTTTAACCACACAACATTTGAATCTCCAAATAACTTTGAATCGCAGTGCTACTTTCTTCCACTTAACTACTACTACAGTTTTATGCATGTATGCCTGTGCATCGAGAACACTACTAACTTTGTTTAATCCAGCTAGATGCCAATATGAGAGTGGCTGACGCAGCCCTTTTCTGCTTCTTTTCCAGTGATATCCCAAGAATCCCCGACACGTCCCACCCTCCATTAGAATCTAGTAGGTATCGCCTGTGGGATGTTGGAACATCTATGTTTGTAGGTCTCTGTATCTCTGTCTGGCTGATTTTCTGTCTGTTTTTTTTTTTTTACATCTTAGAATAATTGATTGTTTTGATTGTTTGTATTGCAGGAGATGATGAATTAATTTAAAATGTACTTAATTTGATCAACATTTGCTTTCTTATCGAGAGACAAAATATGTTTGTGTGTTAACCAGGGTGTGGGATTAGCCTAGCTTAGCATCAAGACTGGAAACGGGGGGGAAACAGCTAGCCTGGCTCTGTGCAGTTCATATGTCAATTAACACCTCTGAAGCACTAATGAACATGTATCTCATTTGCACAATCTGCATATAAACTTTATGAAACCCCAAATTGTCACTTTTACATTTTTTGTTCATGATTAAATATTTGAGATATAATTAGTGAACTTAAGAGGTGCTGGTAGGTGGAGTTTTTTAACTTTGGAGCCAGTCTAGCTGCAGTATTTATACCAAGCTAGGCTAATCACCTCCCGGTAATAAGTAATTTGCATATATAAGATTGGTATTAATCATCTCCTCTCACTCTCAGAATGAAAGCAAATTGATTTACAACAAAAGATTGAACCCTTTTCTTTGAATTTGACCACACGGGGTCAATTAGGAATACTTTGCCAATACTGCAGTGTACAACAGGGTTCCAGTGCATCCACTTCTTAAAATCATGGACCCATTTGTTTCTCCTTTTGTAGCTCGTCATCACAAGGACAAAAGCTGCTGTGTTCATCCCCTCTAAACTAGCAGTTGAAAATGTAGATTCTTCGTGAATTTAACCAGTAAACTCGCTAACTGCAAACATTGCAGGAAAATAATTATGTCATATGTCAATGGTGTAAGTCAAGAGCAGGATTTCTAGGCAGTATGAAGACGTATGGAATTGTATATTTTAGTAATTTCCAGGTCTGGATAAGTATGGGGAAAAAAAGAAAAGAGCATGGAAAACTATTTATTGTTTCCAGACTATTGCCCCTATTCTGTTTTCTAAAATACAAAATTCAAAATGTCTGCATAGGACTGTGGACACAACAGCCACAATGGGTAAAAGCAGGCGGCATCCTCCAGTTCTGCCGACTAATGTGGAAGTGTCCTAAAACTTGCATTCTCTCTCCTCCGATTGCAAAAAGAAGACAGAGTGTATGGAAGTCTATGAGAAAATGACCCTACTTCTCACTTGATTTATTCCCTCATGGTCTCAATCTCTAGTTTCAAGTCTTCTTCAATACGGCATGATGTTCATTTAGTAAATTATGTTCCATTTAGAGGGAAATAGGGCTTACTGTTGCTACCCGAGCCATACACGAAGTCCCTACGTCACTCCTCCGCTTTTCAAATATGGTAACTTCCGTTCATTGGTTGCGACAAAAACAACATGGCAATGGTGAAATTGCCAAACTAGAGTCTTTAAAACGGCAGTCCATAAACCAATGGGTGACGTCCCGATGACTACGTCTTATATACAGTCTCTGGGTAAATGCAAGTTTTCTGAGGGCTGGCCTGACACTCCCAGATATAAAGCCTGGTTGGTTTGGGATTCCAAATGGGGAAAAGAAACTAGATGCAAACCTTGTCTGATGTCTCCAACGTGGGACAGACAGCAATTTTTTGCCATATGAAAGGGCAAAAATGCTTGTCAGTGGTCGGAAAAATCTAACGGGAAGTATGGAATATATGAAATGGAAAATGTGTAGGAACCCTGCAAAAGTTACGAGATGGATTTGCGCATTAGTCAGTAGTTAGTTGATAGTAGATGATAAGATCACACATAAGGCATACGAGTCCTCGATACTTCTAAACAGAAGACTCAAAGTAGGACAGAAGCTTGGTAATTAGTCATCCGGACAGATTAGCTGTGGAATAGTCTGTGCTCCTTTTAAGTTTTCCAAAGAAAAGAATGGATGCTAGATATTTGGTAGATATGAACACATGGACCAGATTATGTTTTCCCTCTTTAATAACTTATTTTTTGACATTTTTGTCCTTTCCTCTTGTCTAGACTTGACTTTTTTGGTCAGAAAAAGAGATGACATTCCCCCCCCCCCCTTATGTATTTGTAGCAGGTTCCAGTTCTTTTGAGTCCCAGAAGATGGAGAGACCATCCTTAAATGTCCTGTCTCCCTCCAGTCCCGGGATGCTCCAAGATGCACCACAGTTAATGCCAGGGCAAATCTCAGTGAGTGTGTACATTATGAGTGTGTTGGTGCCGTTGATGTGTTCAAACAAAGTCCAAGCATCAGAATTTTTTCTTTGTGTTTCCCAAATCCAGGTGAAGCTGTGGTATGACAAAGTGGGTCATCAGCTAATAGTCAACGTGCTGCAGGCCGCAGAACTTCCTCTTCGGCCTGACGGGCGTCCCAGGAGCCCTTATGTCAAAATGTACTTCCTACCTGACCGCAGGTATGCCGTGCCTTTTAAAGGGAGTCTTACTGATTAAATGCAGTGTAGGTGGTGAGTTCCGATGGACCAGAACAACACAAGAACCACTAACACGAGTCTAAATACATTACATCTCCAGTCCACATAGTGTAGAAACTACACAAACACACAATCTAAAACACACAATAAACCTGCCGACGGGATGGAAAAGCAAGTTTTCTTCAAACAATCACCAATACTACAATATTTATCATAGCCAGAAGCTGTAAAAACGTCTTCTTTTTCAACGGTCCTTGGAACACATGTGTGACGAGCGCTTTCGTCAGAAAAAAGTAACCAAAACAAAGCCTAAAATTGTGATATTTCTTCAAAAACATTTGATTCTACACGTCTCATTTAAAATTTTGCCCCAAATAAACCATTTGCTTTAACCAGATTCTGTAAAAAACAGTCAATTCTGAGCTCTTCAGTGCAACTAGGAAGCCATGATTGATTTGCCTCAGACCAAGATCACAAAAATTCAGTAAAACTTCGACTGACCTTCAAGCTGCTCAACACAGAGGAGTAGAGAAGCTGTATGTAGAGGTTGTAAAAAGGTAAATAGTTTAATGTATATGACACATAGAGACACTTGTGGCATCTTGGAAAACAAGTTGTATATAGGTTTCATCTTTTGCCAATCTTTGTAAAAGAAATTATGAAAGAAATTCAACTTAGTTTTTTTTCATTTTATGATTTATGACATATCTGTTATACTGCAGTAAAGAGTTCTCTCTACTTCTAGCCATAATTGTTCTGTTTCCATAGAGGTGAAGGACTCTTATATTGCAGCGAAAATCAAGGCCACAGAGAGTAAAATGTGACAGGAGGAGCAAAAAATGCCCCTAAACTGCTTGGTGTTCAGAGGGTTAAAGCCTGGATTTAAAGCTTGCTTCCTTATTTTTCGGTTCATTAGAGTCCTGAAATTCAAATTTGTGCAAACAAGAAGAAGCCAAGTTGGAACAAGCAATCGGCAACCACGGTTGACTGTGATAGATTGAGAGTCCTCCAAAGGAATAGGTCAAACGGTTTGATGTTCGGGTTGTATGAGATACTTAGTCGGTGTATCACCTAGAGTAGAGGGAGTTTGGAGAAACAGACAGGAGCACTAGCACGGGAGCAAAGCAATGTACAGCTGGGGACGGGGGCAGAAGCAAAACGTGTTGTAGACACCTAAAAACGATCAGTATCAGTTTAAGTGTACGTTATATCTAGAACATTTTCACCACTTTACCTTGCCATCAGTCAACCCATTCTGACAGAAAAGCTGCCATTTACGCTCTCTTCGAAGACACCAGACTCCTTTGTAAAATGTTCACCTCGCAGGACTTGCTGTTCTACCTCTGCCTTGGTTGTTTGTGTTTTTGTGTGACTTTGATGAATCTGAACTAACACTTTAAAACCCCAAAGTGTCACAAAAACACAAATCTAAGCGGTAAAACCAACAACTCCAGTGTTCTGCGAGGGGATGTATCTGTTTTTGTCAAAGGAGTCATGTGGCTTTGAAGAGAGCATACATAGGTGGATATAACGGCTTCAGTTCCAAATATAGCATATTTTAGGCGTTTTAAATTAGTTTTGCTGCTGCCCCTTGTCCACAGCAGTACATTACTTTGCTTTAGTCTTTCTGTCTGTTTCTCCAAATTGGGGGCGTGTTGACCACCATCTACTAATGTACCCCATACAACCCCACTTTAAAAAATCTGAACTATCCCTTTAAGCCGTATTATCTACTGTTACTTTGCAAACTTGCCAATAAAATAAACCTTAAATTGACTTTAAAAGGGAGGCCCATGTTGTGTAAAACTTTGATTGACAGTTGAAAGAGGATACTTTACCTTCTGACTTTAGTTAAAACCAGCATCTAGTGTCTATTTGAGGAACTGCAAGTTAAAGCACCTCCATCAGTGCTTGGGTTTAAATATGTAAACTGTATCCTCAACTAAATGTCACTTGTAAATGCATTCCAGTAGATATACAGTAAGTGGAGTAAATATCGCTGAATGAGGCGTAAGCAGGCTTGTGATTTGTGTCTAGGAAGTTTGGACAAACAGTGGATGTGAGTCTGCTGAAAATGGAACTTGGTTGGCTTGAGTGTCTGTATTGCTTAACACAGTGACAAGAGCAAACGAAGGACGAAAACAATGAAGAAGACCTGTGAGCCCAAGTGGAACCAGACGTTCGTTTACCCTCACGTCCATCGCAGGGATTTCCGCAACCACATGCTGGAGCTGACTATATGGGATCAGCCCAGGTCACCGGACGAGGACAGCACCTTTATGGGAGAGGTACCACACACACACATATACACACACACACACACACACACACACAATTAAGGCTCTTCTCCTTATCAGTTCATAGCACTGAGAGAGAACTTAAAAAATGCAAAGTCCTGTAAGTAGACCTACATCTTATGTTTTACCTGTTAGACGCACATGAAAATACCTTATGTAAGAAAAATACTGTTATCCTGCATTTTTCTGTGTATTTGTACCAAATAGGTTGAAGATTCGTTCCTTAAGTTGACAATCAAATTCTAAATCAACATTTGAATGTAGCGCAACAAATTTTTTTTTTTTTTAATTTTTTAAGAGTGATTGGAAGACATTCGAAGTTTCATTTGAAAACATCAATAGAAGCTTAAAACATTTGGTACAACCCTATCACAGTGATGCAACTAAAGAAAAAAAGTGCAGGGATTTAACAAAATGAGTTTTGACTCTTGGGGTTCTCCACTGATGATTTAAATCTTTTACGCTCGCGGTGGCGCTAATTCCAGTCATAGCAGGGAGTTGTTTTTCATCAAATAAGCTCACGTAAACCCACCGTACCTGCTCTCAGTATCTAATGGCTGACAAAGAGCCAGATATCTCCCTCAAGAGTTGATGGAGCCCAAACCAAATATTGGACTTAGATTTGTCACCTGGAAAATAAAAATGGCCAGGTTGCTCTGTCTGTTGAATGTGTAAATAGTTTGCTAACATCTTTGCTATACTGACTTTATAAGGCGATACATGTATGGCAGCTTGTTCACAACATGAAATGCATCACTTGCACTAAATTCCAGACAGCAGATATTTCGAGCAGCACATGTAAAAGCCTCCCCGATATAAACTCATCAGCCACTTTATTAGGTACACCTTGCTAGTAGTTCGCCTTAATTCTTCGTAGCATAGATTCAACAAGGTGTTTGAAACATTCCTCAGAGATTTTGGTCCATATTGACATGATAGCATCACGCAGTTGCTGCAGATTTGTCGGCTGCACATCCGTGATGCGAATCTCCCGTTCCACCACATCCCAAAGGTGCTCTATTGGATTGAGATGTGGTGACTGTGGAGGCCATTGGAGTACAGTGAACTCATTGTCATGTTCAAGAAAGCAGTTTGAGATGATTTGAGCTTTGTGACATGCTGCAGTATCCAGCTGGAAGTAGCCATCAGAAGATGGGTCCACTGTGGTCATAAAGGGATGGACATGGTCAGCAACAATACTCGGGTAGGCCGTGGCGTTTAAACCATGCTCAATTGGTACTAAGGGGCCCAAAGTGTGCCAAGAAAATATCCCCCACACCACTACACCACCACTAGCAGCCAGAACCGTTGATACAAGGCAGGATGGATCCATGCTTTCATGTTGTTTACGGCAAATTCTGACCCTACCATCTGAATGCCGCAGCTGAAATCGAGACTCATCAGACCGGGCAACGTTTTTCAGAATTTCTATTGTCACATTTTGGTGAGCCTGTGTGAATTGTAGCCTCCGTTTCCTGTTGTTAGCTGACAGGAGTGGCACCCAGTGTGGTCTTCTGCTGCTGTAGCCCGTCTGCTTTAAGGTTCCACGTGTTGTGCGTTCAGAGATGTGTTCTGCATACCTTGGTTGTAACGAGTGGTTATTTGAGTTACTGTTGCCTTTCTATCATCTCCAACCACTCTGCCCATTCTCCTCTGACCTCTGACATCAACGATGCATCTTCGTCCACACAACTGCTGCTCACTGGATATTTTCTCTTTTTCGGACCATTCACTGTAAACCCTAGAGATTTTCACACCCCTTGTGTGTGAAAATCCCAGTAGATCAGCAGTTTTTGAAATAGTCAGACCAGCCCGTCTGGCACCAACAACCATGCCACGTTCAAAGTCACTTAAATCCCCTTTCTTCCCCATTCTGATGCTCGCTTTGAACTTCAGCAAGTCGTCTTCACCACGTCTAGATGCCTAAATGCATTGAGTTGCTGCCATGTGATTGGCTGATTAGCTATTTGTGTTAACAAGCAATTGAACAGGTGTGCCTACAAAAGTGGCCGGTGAGTGTATATGTTCATAAACGGCTTCTACTGTCCGTCTCCTCTCAATTGGCGGCCACGACGCGGCAGCAAAAACTTTTTATCACTATGTGGATTATGACTTGAGCAGATTCTGATAGAGCTGGAGACGGCCTTGCTGGACGACAAGCCCCACTGGTATCCACTCCAAACCCACGACGTCTCATCCATACCGCTGCCCCGACCCTCTCCATACCTGCCCCGACGACACACAGACGCCCCCGGCAAGAAGCTGCAGCGTAAGTCTGAGTCTGCAAGTGTGTGTGTGTGTGTGTGTGTGTGTGTCACTGTTTAAGAGAGAAAGGATTGTGTATGGTTTACTATCAGTGAGCAAAGTATTTCAATGTACATGTTTGTTTTTCCCCACCCTTCCCTTTAACACTTCATTCGTGCCTGGATACGTGCATGCGTATATGTGTGTGGCGTATATGCATATCTATGTGTGTATCTGTGTGTGTGTGTGTGTGTGTGTGTGTGTGTGTGTCTATAACGTTTAGGTTCTCGGCGTGTAACAGAGCCTGAATTTGATGAAGGTACAGCAGTAGTGGCTAAAGGTGGGTGGGGATTGTTTCCTAGTATTACTGTCAGTGTTTCCCGCAAACTCTACTTTATTTGTGGCGTTTGTTTATGAGCCATTGCTTGGCTGGATACAGGTGTTGGCATTCTTTTAAATTTTTGTGCCAAAATGAGTCCCGTCATTTTTTCACAAAATGCAGCAGAAACTAAAGAAAAGCTCAAGTTAAAATGTGTTTTATTGCATTGAAATTAATGAAATAAACTGTTAT